TTGCTCATAATTCACACAGTCATCAAGATTAATTATACACATGGCCCAAATAAAACTTTTACCTTGTCATCAAGAAAGTAAATTATATAGGTTTTTCCACGTCTGGTATGATCCATATAGCCAATGGAATAGAGTAAACATAATGCATGGAATTTATTGCTGGTGGTCATTTTTTTCTCACTCAGCTCTGAGTTCTTTGAATTATTTGGCTTGCACAAGAAAGTCCAAGCTAGAATGTAGATCAGTTCCTTACAAACTAAATACCGAATGCACCCTAAAAGAAAAAGAGAAAAAGGCCATTCCTTGCTAGATATATTAATACACCTTTTCTCTTAAGGGGTTAGCATTCCCCATGAAACAAATTTGCATTTGGCTGGCAGCCAACAGGGCAACAGAAACTTTCTGTACTTTTTTAGGGGTGTGGGAGCATAAAGTGAAGTGAGAATGGGAAAGAGAGCAATGGAAAAATCGAAGTAGGAGTCGCAGGAGCCTAGTGCTCCCGGAGACTGTCTAGAGATGGAGAATCCTGAAAAATATGCCCAAATGTTTCCTAAGAATCCTGAAAAACATGCCCAAACTTTTCTAAGTTCCTATCAAGATCAGATCTTCTGGAATTAGTAATTAAAGTAGCACCTATCTACCTGCCTGCTTCTTAAAAATGTAAATAAATCACTTGACTCTATGTCTTTCCCAAACGCTATAGACAAGAGTAAACTGGAATAGAAGTGTGGAATATCTAATAAATATTCAAAAAGTATTAGTCTGGATGTTGTTTAATACAAATGTTGCTAGGTAGGTCCTGCTTGCTTTTCTAAGTCATGCAGAGGTTTTGTTGTTGTTGTTGTTGTTGTTGTTTTGGTTTTGGCAAATGGTTACATATTCCTCACAGTTTTTCTTTTCTTTTCTTTTTGAGCCAGTCTCATGTCGCCCTGGGTTGAGTGCCATGGTGTCACAGCTCACAGCAACCTCAAACTCTTGGGCTTAAGCAATTCTCTTGCCTCAGCCTCCCAAGTAGCTGGGACTACAGGTGCCCGCCACAATGCGGTTGTAGTTGTCATTGTTGTTTGGCCGGCCTGGGCTGGATTCATACCCGCCAGCTCCGGTGTATGTGGCTGAGGCCCTGGCCACTGAACTACAGGCGCCGAGCCCAGTTCTTTATTTTCTACTAGTATAATTAACCTGGGTCTATAGCCCAAAGCCTAAATCCATCCATTTATGAGAAAACAAAGACTTTTAATGAAAATTCAACCATACACCTTCTTTTTCTATTACCTCTGTATGATACTCAGTTATCCTTCTACCACAAAGCTTTCAGTGATTACCCTGCCAAGGTATAAGTTCGTTCCCAACTTCAGTTCAATCTTTTCTAGTAATATTTGGTTTCTCTTTTCTATTATTCCCTACAAAAATCACTTTCTGTAACATATTTATTTATGTTTTTATTATTTCCATCATTTTACTGTACAATGTGTATTAGATTCATTGTACTTTCTTTTTCTTCTTCTTCTTTTTTTTTTTTTTTTTCAGTTTTTGGTTGGGGCTGAGTTTGAACCCGCCGCCTCTGGCATATGGGACCAGCGCCCCACCCTTTTGAGCCACAGGCACTGCCCAGATTCATTGTACTTTCTATAATGTACAGATTAAGAGTTTTCAAAGCAATGCTTACTGACTTTTGTGATTATAAAAAAAGTGCTGCATAATCATTGTTCAACATGTCAAAAATACAGAAAAGAATAAAATGCAAAATAAACAACACTTATTCACTTTCCAATGTCAAAAAAAAAAAAAGACGACTGCCCTATTTTGGCCCTTTCAGCCCTTTCTCCATGTAGATCCCCCCTTTTTTTTTCTAAACATGTTTAAGAACATTCTCTTTTCTGTCATATTTTTTCCCCACTTGTCAATAACTGGTAACACCATTCCACACTGTTAATAATTCTTCATAAATTTCCTACCCAATGTCTGTATAATACCATATCCTTTGATAATACTATAATGATGATGTCTTTTGTTGGGCATTTGGGTTATTGCCAATACTTGACTTTTCTAAACAAAGATATATTGAGCATCTTTGAACATTAACTTTTAAAGTATTTCCCATAAATTCCTTTGAATAGATTCCTAGAAGTGGAATTACTAAGTCCAAGGGTTAGGAGCATTATTGAGGCTTTTCATATATTCACCCAATCTGCTTTTCAAAAAGGCTGCAACAATTGCAGGCCCCTCATGATTGAGGGGCCACATTTGAGAGTGGTTGCTCAACTGAACACTAATTGATGTGGAGAATTAGAAATTTTTAAAACCTATGTTTATTTGAGAGCCGGAAAAATGGTACCTGCTATTGCTCTGATTTTTATTCTTTGATTAATGGAAAGAGAATGCATTCCTATATATCTATTGCCATTTAATTTTCTTTCTTTCTTTCTTTTTTTTTTTTTGAGACAGAGTCTCAAGCTATCACCCTGGGTAGAATACTATGGCATCATAGCTCACAGCAACCTCAAACTCTTGGGCTCAAGTGAACCTCTTTACCTCAGATTTTCTACTTTTAGTGGAGATGGGGTCTAGCTTTTGCTGAGGCTGGTCACAAACTTGTGAGCTCAAGCAATCCACCCGCCTCGACCACCCAGAGTGCTAGGATTACAGGCATGAGCCACGGTGTCCAGCCTAATTTTCTTTTCTATGGATACTGTGTTTTTGCTCATTTTTCTGCTTCCCTCTATATTAGTTTTCTCTTACTGCATAACAAATTTCCACAAACTTAGTAGTGTAAAACAATATCCATTTATTATCACCTAGTTCTGACGGTCAGAAGCCTGGGTAGATTTGGGTGGGTTCTCTGTTCAGACCTCTCTCACAAGGGCTGAAATCAAGGTTTCGGCCAGCCTGGACTTTTATCTAGAAACTCTGGTAAAGGATTCAGTTTCAAACTCACTGGGATGGTTAACATAATCTAGTTCCTTAAGGTTTCCATTCTAGGCTGGCTGTTAACCAGGGCCCACCCTCAGCAACTCTAGGCTTCCAGCGCTTATCAAGTCTGCCCCAATTCCTTCTTGGCAGTTACCCTCCATATTTGATGCAGCAACAGTATGTTGATTTCTTCTCCTGAAGAGTAACTGAGTAGAGAAAGCGCTCTACTTTTGCAGATTCCTGTGATTCATTTTGGCCTGTGCAAATAGTCTCTCCATTTTAAATTCAACTCTGCCATGTAACATAACATAATCAAGGGAGTGATACTTCATTGCACACACAGCTTCCAGGGATTAGCAGGAGAAATCTTGGTGGAGGGACATATTTAGAATCCTGCCTGCTATAGTCCTAAGTGTTGTTTTTTGTGTTCTTTATAATTAAATCTCAATTGCTTGAATCTGCTGAATAATCTTACTGATGACTATCAGAGGCTGTATTTTCATAATGGCAAACAAAGACAACTAATACGGATGGGGCTGCTGTGTGCCAATAAAGATTTAGAATACATAAGTTTGCTAGCATGATATTTTTTATTGTGGAACAATACACATAACATAAAATTTACCATCTTAGTGATTTTTAAATGGACAGTTCAGTATTGCTAAATACAGTCACAGTGTTGGGCAGCCAGTCTCCAGAACTCTTTTCACCTTGCAAAACTGAAACTCTTACCCATTAACGACTCCCCATTCTTTCCCTCTCTCCAGTCCCTGATAATTAACGTTCTACTTTCAACACTGATATATTTTTTATTTTATGTATGTATTTATAAACAGATATATAGCAATTTCAATATGCCACTGTTCTAAGCACTTTAAAAATATTAAATCATTTAATCCTCATAAAAACCCTAATGAGGTCAGTACTGTTGTTATTTCCATTCTACAGGTTAGGGAAACATAGCAAGGCTAAGCAAGCTACCCAAGATTACACAACTAGGAAATGACCAAGCAGGAATTCAAACTGAGATAGCCTGGTTTTACTGACTTTACTATGAACCATTACACTGTAAAAACATTCATTGTAATAAACTCATTAGACATCAGTATCACTTCTTTGATGTACAAGTTTTAAAACATTTCCCTGTGTGCAATTTAACCTAATATTCATCTCCTAACTAAAAGGTAGACTATACAACCCAAGTGACACACCTCCACCGGCCTTTCAGAGATTTATGTATAGTCCAGTTTTGGTTAAGACATTTTAAGTTAATGAAAAAAAACTGCCTTGTATTATCACTAATCATAATTTACATGTTGTATTCTATAAAAGAATACTTTATAAATACAAACTACAATTCACTATAATTAGTGAAATTAAAATATAAAGAAAAAAACCCAAGTGTTTCTCTATAGCTCCTTCCAAAGAGGAGAAAACCTTACAAATAAGTTTACAACAGCATGGTTCAATCTCAGTTTAACCTGGTAATTTAAATGTATCTTGCTTTGCAAGTTATACACCTAAACCGGTCTCAATTTGTCATCCAGTTGTATGTTATCAGTCGTAATTCATTTAAGGGGTTGGTCTGAGAGCTCCTTAGTTTTAGTTTAATAATCCTTTCATCAGTCCATGCTTGTCATCAGTCATGTGGTATCATTTACTATACATTAAAAATGGGCAGAGTCAACAGAAAGAACAATCATTCTGTTTCTCTGGGAGCCCCAGCTTGCGGGTTAAAAGCCCTGCTGAGGTTTGGTTTCTATGACCCCTCTGGCGGCAGGGGCGGCAGTGGGCTCTAAGAACCACGCACTGAACAAGACCACTCATTTCAACTACTCTCTCGTCCTACTACACATCTGATTTCCCAAAACAAGCTGACAACACGTCAAGTAATCTCCCCTCATCCTTTACCCATTACAATGTAGTACAGTCTTCAGCATGAAATAAACACCAGAGCCTAGAAGAATCAGCAAAATCACCCTACCCTCTGGGAGCTTCTGGGATAATTACAGTGCTGTCATCCCTGCCCCATCCCCCTCCCCTCCGCGCCGCCGGTCGGCCAGGCAGCACAGAAGCAGGCAGATGCTCACCCGGTCGCTGGCTACTACTTTCCCTTCACCGCCGGGGCCTGCAGTCCGCTCCCGGCCGGGGTCCGGCTTCCGCAGCCCCCCGCCCGCCGCCGGTGACAGCCCGCCTGGCCGCTGACCATCCCGGCCCGGCTCTGTTTACATGCGGCTTCTCCCGGTCTCACCCTTAAATGCTTCCCCCCGGCAACCCGGGCAGCCAGAGCCTGACACGTAAGGTTCCAGAGCGCGAAGACGCGGCTCCCGGCGGCGGGGCCTGACGGCACCCTCCATGGCTCCCTAGCTCTCTGCTTCCCGAAGCGCCTTTCTCAGCTCTCACACCGTGCAAGCAATGGCGTGTGCGCGGGGTCTCCTCGCTGCTCCTCCCCACGCCAAAATGGTGGTTTGCAACTGGGAAAATTGGGGCTGGGACATACTAGGACCGGGGCGGTTTTTAGCAGCTTTCTTGTCTAAGACAATTGCTTAGAGATAAGTTCTTTTCAAAAGTAGGACTGTTAGAACCTGGAGGTTGCCTCTTATCTCAGATTTGGAGCTGCAGTATCAAGTTTTCACTGCCCTTTACTAGGTCTTCAACTTCACTGTGGATTCCCAACAAGAGGAGAGAGAGAGACGAGCGGGGCGCTCCTTAGGCCACCCACACCATTCCCTACAAAGACTTTGGCCACTTTGCAAAGTGTCTTTGCCACTTTTTGACCCTCCTTGCAATCAGCCATCTCATTCTCCTTCACAGTGATACCGGAATTTTGCTCTTCAGTAGATCTTTGGTCTTGGGGATTCGAAGAATGAACTCACTGACCACAGATAAGTGGTAAGATAGGACTTTTATTAGAAGTTAGAAAGGAATACAGAAAAAGTAAAAAGCACCAGAGCTTCTGGAAGGGGAAAAGAACTGAAGAACTCTCTCAGGAATCTCTACAAGGGCTCTTTTATCTAGGGGTATTAGGTCTAGAGCATTACACATGGCTGGCAGTTGGTAGGAGGAAATGAATGGTTAACAAATGAATGAATGTAGTTCCTCCTCCACTAGGGCGAGGTTATCCTGTCCTTTACAGTCTTTATCCCTGAGAAGGGATTAGGGTGTGTGCTCCTACCCAAGGTGGAACCACTCAAAAAACCATCACAGGCTACTTTGTTCATGATCTTATCAGAGCCCAGAGGGTGTGTCCCCAAAAAGGCAACCTGCTTGTGCCTGGAAATGGGGGGTTCTGACCTCTGAGCTTGCCTGGGCCTAGAGAATGGGAGGCTCCCTGTCTACCCCTGAGTGGTGGAATCCTGTATCAATAGCACACTACATAGCCATTTCCTCGATTTATTTTAATTTTGCTTTTTTTTTTTTGAGACAGAGTCTCACTTGTCACCCTTGGTAGAGTGCTATGGCATTAGCTCACAGCAACCTCAAACTCCTGAGCTTGAGCAATCCTCTTGACTCAGCTCCCAAGTAGGTGGGACTACAGGCACCAGTCACAAGGCCTGGCTATTTGTTGTTGTTGTTGTTGTTTGGGGTCTTTTTCCTATTTTTAGTAGAGACAGGGTTTCACTCTAGCTCAAGTTGGTCTCCAACTACTGAGCTCAAGCAATCCACCTGCCTCAATTTCCCAGAGTGCTAGAATGACAGGTGTAAGCCACTGTGCCCGGCTTTTATTTTGCTTTTTAAGAAACAAAGTCTCCCGATGTCGTGCAGGCTGGACTGGAACTCCTGGGCCCCTGACTGAGCCTCCGGAGTAGGTGGGACTGCAGGGGCCATCACACTAGGTGAAAGAGGGGCACTTGGACTGGCAAAGAAAGGAGGGGAGAAAGATAAGGGGCGGGGAAGAGAAGAGAGAATAGAGAAGAGTGAGGGGGAAGAGAGAGAAAAGAGAGCAGAGAAGGAAGGCAGAAGGAGGGGAGAGAGAGAGAGAGAGAAATGGCGGAGTGAACATATTCTTATATAGGGGAGTTTTAGAATGGTGACGGGCTGGTGGGATAACCAATAAGGAGTTATTCCATTATTCCTCCAGCGGAAAGAGCCATTAGGGTCGGGCAGTGGGAAATTGGAACAGGGTGTGAGGTAATCAGGTCACTCCATGTGCTAGGGAGGAGTTGTAACTTTAAGGGCAGAAAGGGGCTTTGGGGGAGGGGCCACTAGGGTCAGTTTATATTTACATATTTATTTATCTGTTTTATTGACTTCTCCATTCTGGCCTATAAACTCCCTGAGGGCAGGAAGTATTTCAGTTTTACTCACAGACATGGGATATGCACCTACTGTGGGAAAGGAATCATCATAACCCTGACAGGAGTGCGGCCATTTTAGAAAATCTGGTTAGTAACCAGCAATCTCCTCCCCAGACTTCTGGAGTCTCTCAAGGCCAGAGTTCCTGGGAATGCCCTACCCATATCCTGGCTGGTACTAACTGCCCATAATCCTGACCTGATCTAGGGAAGAGCCCCAGCTGGTGCTCTGGCTTATTTCAGCTATACTGATAAGGCCTTTTCAACAGTGTGGGAGCTGAGCTGATACCTGGTCAGTCTCCATTCTGCTTTTCCACTCTATTAAAGTCTTTCCTTGACCCTGGACAGGTCTCCTCTCCTGTCTTGCGCACCCTCATCCCAGTTCTATGCAAGGACCTCTTACCTAGCACAATGCCCAGTGTATTATATATATATGAATAAAGGAAAGCAAACATAAATTGTTACTGGGGTCAGAGAGAGCAGCATCATAAAAACCTAAAGATCTGACTCTCCCACCAAAAGATGAATAAGCAAATCTTTAACCATTGAGTTTTTAAAAAATATCTCCTTTAGTTGATGTTCAGAGTTTCAATAGGCCTTTTTTATATTCTGAAATTTGAGGTAATTTTTTTTCTTACCTAAACTTGCAGGGTCCTCTTTTGCCTTAGGACTTTGAACATGTGATTACCTCCGATTTCTCACCCCTATCCCCATCCCTTACCTTAGCCTGGCCAACTTGTCCTTGCCCATTTAAGCACCTCTCCTGGAAATCAACCCTGACTGGGAAACCTGCTCCTTTTGTGCATACAGAGTCCTGGAAGAACTCAGGCGTTCCTTTGTAAGTGCACTCTTCACACTGCACAGCCTTCATCTATACCCCTGTAAGTCTGCGGTTAGGGGGCTGGCTTGGTGGCTCACCATGCCTGTTCTCTTAGCACCATGGGAAGCCGAGGAGGGTGGATTGCCTGAGCTCAGGAGTTGGAGACCAGCCTGAGCAAGAGCGAGAACCCCTATCTCTTAAAAAAAAAGTCCAGTGTTGTGATGGGTGTTTATAGTCCCAGCTACTCAGAAAGCTGAGGCAAGAGGATCACTTAAGCCCAAGAGTTTGAGATTGCTGTGAGCTATGACAACACATCACTCTATTGAGGGCAACAAAGTGAGGCTCTGTCTCAAAATAAAAATAAATAAATAAATCTGAGGTTAGATTAATGGCTTTCAAAATTCAGTATGTAACAGAATCTTCTAGGATGGTGTTCCTCAAATTTTAATAGGTGAGAATCCTGCCATAATGCAGATAGTAATTCAGTAGGTCTGGGATGAGGCCTTTGTAACACTAACGGACTTCCAGGTGAAGCCGCGTTTTGAGTGTCAAGGTTCTTGAGTGCTTATTAAAAGTGCACATTCCTGGGTGACACACCCATAGTTTTTTATTCCAAAGGTATACCTCCAATAGGATCCCGGATTCTGCAGTTTTAACAAGTGACTCAAAACGTACGTCCATGAAGGTGCTCTGCAGACTGTCCTTTGAGAAAAGCTACAGCCATCTGTGAGGCCTGAGGGCAGGGCCCATGTTCTGTCATTGCTTTTCCATTGTGCACTGAGCACAAAGCATGGCACATAAAATGCATTAAAAAGCCATGTTCACAAAATGATTGCATTTACTATCAGTGCCACTAAGCCGGTGATCCCAGAAAAAGGATGAAAGGTTTAGGGCCGAGAAGAATCTCGGCAGGGCAGCTGCAGACTCTTGGGCTTCTGTCTGTCAGCTGGGGACATTTTGCTCCTCTAAATGTAAGATATTTATGTTCATGTCTCCCATGAAATGGTTGTCTGCTAACAGAAGCCCTACCTACCACCATATTTTTTGTTTTTTTGTGTTTTAGACTTTTTTTTTTTTTTTTTTTAGAGACCAGGTCTCACTCTGTTGTCCAGGCTAGAGGACAGTGATCCAATTGGATTTCACTATAACCTCAACTTCCTGGACTCAAGCCACCCATCTGCCTCAGCCTCTTGAGTAGCTTGGACTACAGGAATCTGCTAGTAATGTTTTTGTTTTATTTTTATAGAGCCAAAGGTCTCACTATATGGCCCAGGCTACTCTTGAACTCCTATTTTCAAGCAATCCTCCTACCCCAGCCTCCCAAAGTGGTAGGATTACTGGCATGAGCTGCCTTACCTGGCCAAAATAGACTCTTTTTTAGAACAGTTTTAGGTTCATAACAAAATTGAACAGAAAGTACAGAGAATTCCAATATATTCCCTATCCCACCCACCTACATGCACACAACCTCCCCTACTATCAACCCTGCACCACAGTGGTGCGTTTACTACAAATGATGAAACTTAATTGACACATCATCATCACCCAAAATTCATAGTTTACATTAAGGCCATCATTATTGTTGTTTGTTTGTTGTTTGTTTCTATTTGTTGTTTATTTCTTTCTTGAGATGAGATTTCACTGTGTTACCCAGGCTGGTCTCAAATTCCCGGGCTCAACCAATCCTGCCCTGGCTTCCTGCGTAGCCGAGATTACAGATACACTGACACTGTATCCAGCTGTGGACTACTATCTTTTTAACTTTATACAGTGATATTCAGAAAAGTCTCTCTGAATGATCAGAATAATTTTAAAACAGAGTGGTGGCTGGGCACAGGGGCTCATGCATGTAATCCTAGCACTCTGGGAGGCTGAAGCAGAAGGAGCCCTTGAGCTCAGAAGTTCGAGGCCAGCCTGAGAAAGATCGAGACCCCATCTGTACTTTTAAAAAGGGGAGGGGGCAGTGCCTGTTGCTCAAAGGAATAGGGCACCGGCCCCATATGCTAGAGGTGGCGGGTTCAAACCCAGCCCCAGCCAAAAAAAAATTTATATATATATATACACATATATATATACACACACACACACACACACATATAGACACACACCTGGCCA